CGGCGCGCGGTGGTGTGCAGGGCGGGCTGCTTGAACTGCGCAGGACGCGGCCAGTGTCTCCCCTTTTCGGTAAGAAGAGCACAGAACTGCACAGGAGAATACAAGTGGTTTTTGTTGTTGTTTTTAATTAGAAGCAATAGTTGTTAAATTTTGAAAGATCAAGGAGAAAACAGTTGAAGAAAAATAAGAACTAGAGTTAAGTGTTCACCGGTTTCTCTATGCTTCCAACGAATCTCACAGGCTTAATGGCAGAAGGAAAATTGGAGGTTCCTAAGCTAAGGTTAGTCCTTTCAAGTAGTTGCAAATAGAGGAAACCTGATGCTCATGGAACATTTTCCAAAATCTGAGCATCCACCGAGCCATAAAGAAAACCCCAACAGACGGGCCTCAATGCATCTTTCTGTAAATTACCATAGATCAGTCTTGATTCAACAGACTATGAAATATAGGTGCTTGTTATTGGCAAGAATTTAGGGGATTTTTACAAAGGAAAATAATTCTCTGCAGCAGAACATTTTAAAAGAATTAAGAGTTATGGGGCTACAAGGAGAAATTTACCACTTCTCCCCTTGAAAAACCCCTTCCTTTATGATCTTTTCCAGATCTCCCACTTACAGCCTTCTAATTCTGTTGAAGAATAGTTGTAAAAATAATTTCAACCCAGACTTTTCTGAAATAAAATTGTATACCTAAAGCAGAAAAAAAAAAGAAAAAAGAAAACCCCAACACACTCAAAACACTGAAACCATTCAGGGTATGTCCTTCAAGCTAACAGAATGAAACTAGAAATAATCAAGACAACTAAAATTCCCCAAATGTCTGAAATTGAAACAAAAAAACGTCTAGATATTTAATGGGTGATGAAGAAATCACAATGGAAATGAGAAAATCTGAACTGAATGATATAGAACATACAAAATGGGGTGCAGCTAATACAGTGCTTAGAGGAAAAGTTATAGCTTTATTTCTGCCTATGAATTGTGATTCAAATGCTTATTCATAATGGCAACAGCACAAAACATCAGTTTTGCATCCATACATGTAGTACCCTTAGGCTATTGCTTGGCATATAATAATCATTCATGATACCTATTATGCATTTGTTGTTATTAATAATTATGTATAACAGGATATTGTCATTATGTTAGTAACTTGAGGCCCAGTGCATGAAAATTCATGCACTGAGGGGGGTCCCTCAGCCTGTCTTGCACCCTCTCGCAGTCCAGGACCCCACAGGGGATGTCTGACTGATTGCTTATGCCTGCTCCCCAGGGGATCGGGCCTAAACTGGCAGTCAGACATCCCTCTGGCAGCCTGGGAGCCCTTGGAGGATGTCTGACTAACGGCTTAGCACTGCCATGGAGGCAGGTGAGGCTCCCACCACTGCTGCTGGGCTGGCCAGCCATGAGCCGGCTTTTGGCTGAGTGGCACTCCACCTGTGGAAGTGCAATGACCACCAGGGGAAGCTCCTGCATTGAGTGTCTGCCCCGTGGTGGTCAGTGTGCATCATAGCGATTGGTCATTCCTGATCATTCCCCCATTTGGGTCAATTTGCATATTACCCTTTTATTATATAGATAGAATATTAAAGTTTGAGAGGTGGTATGGTTTAATAATTAAGTTCTGAACTTTGAAGCCATACTACCCTGGTTTGAATTCTTGTTCAACCATTTACTAGCTATGTGTCCTTGTGCAAGTACTTAGTCTCACTGTGTATCAGTTTTCTTATTGGTAAAATAGGGATAATATTGATACTTTGTGTTGTGAGGATTAAATGAGTAAATGTATGTAATACTCTAAAGCAAGCATGTCAGACTCAAAGGCTAACATGGGCCAGATAAACAAGGTTTAAGTTTATGTGGGCCGCAAAAAAAAAAAGCTTAAATTTTCATAGAAATGTAGGTTTATTTCGCTAGAGACATGCTGAATACAAAGGGATGAAATAAATAAATAATAATTATCATAAAATAATAAAACATTTTAATAAAAATTAAGATTTTTCTTGAACATTATCTTACCAGACACTGAATAACTGCACAAATTAATAAGCGTAATGCAAATAAACCTAGTTTTCTTGTTCTCCGAAAGCGAAATATTTCCTGTTGTGCACACCAAACAAGTCAGTACAAGACTAATGACTTGGCAATTGGCTGCTCAAATATTTGCTGCTAGTATTAGTGGAGAGGAATGGTGCGCCTGCGAGTAAGGCATGTAAGGGAAATGAATGCAATACAATTATATTAAGCAGTCATTAGTGAACATTGTAGTTTGTTATTAATAATTATGTATAACAGGTATTGTAAAAATTAAGTTACGAAATTTTTATTAAAATGTCTCTTACGTACCGTTATATTGGCTGGGCTGCAAAAATATTAATTGTGGTCCGTGAGTTTGACATGCTTGGTCTAAGGGAAGTGCCAGGCATATTGTTAACACCCAACAAATGTTAGCTATTATTAGAGTTCAAGGGATGATATATTAATAGATAAAAATGAAAAGGTAAGTTGACTCAATGGATTTAAATGCCATGTAAAGGAATTAAAACTGTTTGTTTAACCCATGGAACTAAAACTAATATTTGAGAGCTTATTATGTACCCAGTACATTACCTCTGCTGAAGGTCACTATGTACAGGAATTCTAATTTTCTAGTGAAGGAAATTTATGCCTGAGAGTGTCTGCCACTTCCATAGATCCCTTCTAAGAGGTTCCTTCTACGTGTATTCTTGCTGGGGCCACATGACATTCTTTTTAAAAAAAACATTTTTATTGATTTAGGAGAGGAAGGGAGAGGGGGAGAGAGATAGAACATCAATGATGAGAGAGACTTATTGAGTGACTGCCTCCTGCATGCCCCTACTGGGGTTCAAGCCCACAACCCAGGCATTGTGCCATGACTGGGAATCGAACCCAGGACCTCTTGGTCCATGGACGACGCTCAATCCACTGAACCACCACAGCCAGGCCATGTGACATTCTTTGGTGACCAAAGATGGATTAATGGCTCATGAGATAGCCTGTCACAAATGTCCATACAAGAGCAATGGTAATCGTTTTCTTTCTTGGGAATTTGACCTGGAGGTATGGGAAGAGAGCCTGTAGCCTGGTATTTGAAACAGAAGTAGAAAGATGCCCAGAGATGATCAGAGACAGAGAAAGTAGCTGTGTTATGATAATGGTAGGACACTACAGTGAAGAACTAAGAATGGCAGCTGCTTTGATTGTTAAGAATGTACCCTGAAACCTGTTGCAAAATGACTTCTAACTGACTTCAATAATTTATAACCCATTTCATTTCTCTCTAGTTCATTTCTGTTTAATTTTTAAATTAAGCAATCTTTATTTATTTATTTAAAATATATTTTTATTGATTTCAGAGAGGAAGGCAAAGAGAGAGAGAGAGAGAGAGACATCAATGATGAGAGAGAATCATTGATCGGTTGCCTCTTGCATGCCCCCTACTAGGGATCAAGCCTGCAACCTGGGCATGTGCCCTTGACTGGAATAGAACTCAGGACCCTTCAGTCCCCAGGCTGATGCTCTATTCACTGAGCTGAACCAGCTAGGGCAAATTAAGCATTCTTTAATACCAAGCACGTAAAAATCCCCATTTATGAAATGAATGGGTAAATATGAAAAGATAGTTACAGCAACAACTCACGTCTAAATCCTAGAAAGAGAAAGGTCTGTGAGTAAACAAACTGAAGGAGCTCATTCACTCAGGTCTGTGAGATAATGGAAGCAGGTGCAACAAAGCTTTGGGGCACCTCTCACAGATAGTAAGGGGGGGGGGCACAGTTCCTCGCCGGTAACCATGGCATTTTGGCACTTTGAGGGCTCTGGTGTTTAGTCATGATGTTTGACAGAAGACTTGAGTGGCATGCCTGGTGGAGTCTCCAGCACCTGGTGATAAGTGGGAGATCAATAGCTGCATTTGGCAGGAGACCTCATTGCCCTTTAAATGACAGGATGGGGAGCTGAATCACCCAGTAAGAGAGTGGGAAAATGGCAGCGCCCCATCATGAGCACCTGTGAGACACATCTTGGGTTTTAGAGACACTTGTGGTGCGGGTGGGGTGGGGAGGGAGTTCTCCAAGGAGCTACTGCGTT